ACAACTGCCTTGTTAATGCATAGTGTGTCAGTATGCATACACTGTCGCAATTGAAATTATTAGTTTGAAGGTGCTCTGATTTGCAAGAAAGTTACAGTAGTTAAGCTTGGTGATTGGAATGCTGATCCTGCTCCAGATTCAGATATGGACAAGGCCAGTTACAAGCGGTTAAGGTTTTACTGGTTAGCATGGCCCCATTAGCCACTGCTGTTGATGTAATTACACCATCTGGCAGTGAAAAGCATCTTTCTCCATCGACATGCCAATTAAAAGGTGTCAAAAAGAAAAGCAGCTTTTAAGTGATAGTTATTAATTGTATTGTATTACTTTTTTGTTATATGTGTTTTGCTACTACCTTTTTTTTGTGAAATGTACTAGGGATGCACCAATGTTGAAATTCTGGTTGATGCTATTCTATACTATTTTGTAAGTAAATAAATAAATAAAGATGCAATGAATGTAATGTTCACCAGTACATTATATATATTATATAATATATAACTGCTCATTACATGCTGTATGTCTGAGTGAAACAGCTTCTCAAACAAGGGAAAAAAAATGTATAGCGATATTCTTTTTTTTCCATCAGGATTTTGATTGGATCATTTGCTAATTGCTGGGAATTGTTTTTATTATTATACATGATTTATAATAAACACTGCTACATTCCATTAAAAATAAGAATTTTCCATTTTATTTTAAGATGACTTTAAGGATATTGACCAATAATCAATATGGAGAAGAAGATACATCATGTATCCCTAAAATTAGTCACAGCTCAGGATAAGTGTATTTCTAGATCAGCACTGTCATGTAATTTTCCTGCATTTCGAGAGCCATTAGTCACGTGGCATTTACAGCTCAGGCGATAAGTTCATAATAATCTGACTGCAGAACTGAGAACCTGCTGATCCTGCAACTACAATTGAGATGTGAGTGAATGGGAAAGGCCCTGATATACTCACAGCAAAGTCCTTTTCGTTCTTTGCATAGAGGTAAAAAATGGTTTGAAATACCTGAGCAGCGATATGCATTGGTTCCCAACCACATTCCTGGATCCCCTTCTAACACTGCATGTTTTCCATATCTCCTTTATCAAACACACCTGATTCATATCATCAGCTCATTAGTAGAGATCCAAGACCTGAAATGAGTGTGTCAGACAAAGGAGAGATGCAAAATGTGCAGTGTTGCAGGAATGTGGTTGGGAACCACTGTATTAAGAGAACATCCCAGTGCCGCCCACCCTGTTGAGAGCGGCGTTTAGATGGATATGTAAATGCATGCATGTTTAACACACAACAGCAATGTCAGCATTGATAAAACGGTTAAGAAAACATCTGATCATAATGACGTGGATATGTTTGTACCAGCTCTGCAATTTGACACTCAAGTCGCGTCACGTTTATTTATATATAATACATTGCTTTAAAAGCAGCTTTACAGTATTAAACATAAAAAGTGTCACTTTCAATTAGAATTACAACTTCAATTTCTACTATAAAGCAGCTCTCCAGTGTGTTCATGTTTTTACTCATGTCTGACCTCGACAGACTGAACGGAAGAAATGAATCAGAGAGGATTTCCATGTCAACTTATCGCCACAGACTAATGTGTTTACCAGCTTGGCCAAGTAAAATTTCTGGATGTTTGTGAATGACGTCACCAATTTTTTCTCCTATTTTGCTTAGCGTATATAGGGGCCTTAATCCAATTCTACCTTGTGTGTAGTTATAAGTTAAGGATGATTGTTTCACTTAAATTTGTGACATGACGCTGGTTTTGTTAGCTATTTTCAGCATTGATTCAATATTAAATGCTTTCTCATTGTCTCTCCTGCAGTTTGTAAGTGTGTGTGCTATATTTATGCATGGACTGAAGGCTCCTGATGAATGCACGACCCCTCCACTCCACCTTTCCCGCAGCTCCATGCGGAAATAAAGTGGAAAAAGTAATGATTCCAGGCCTTGAAAATTCTTGCACAGCCTGTGGAGGGGCTCGGCGATTCCCCTGAGACAGACATACCCTTCTCTATTTCTCTGTCAGCCAGTAGAGTTGGCCAGACCCCTCTCTCTCTATCTCTCTTTCTCTCCCAAGCCTCACTCAGACCTCTAATTAAAACCCCCATCGATTTTTTTCCCTCCTTCTTCTGCCGCCTCTCTGCTTCTCTTTGTCTGTTTATCATGTTTTTAATCGGCCCCTGGACCTGAGCTTGCAGGATTAGACAGTGTATTTGACCCTAGAGTCGAAAGACCCAGACAACACCGTCCTGACACCTCCGGCCTTACCCTGCTCCCCCTGTTGGCCTCACCCAGCCTTGGGTGTCCGCCCTTGGGGAGAGATGAGAAGGGCAGAGGCTTGGCTCTCTCTATCTGATAGCACCTCTGCCCTCTCTGGTTAGGTTCATTCTCCATTCTTGAAAATAGATGCTACACAAAAGTGGAATTGATGATCTGCACTTTTTCCTGTTGCTGGGTTTTTGTAGCAGGCAGTGTTTGCCTTACTGTAAGTGTTTTACTGCCTTGAATTACAGCAATAAGCAATAAAGGCTTGTGTTACCATGATAATACCATAAGGGGAGTTATTTGGCACAACATAGGGAAAATGTCAAAATTGCTAACTTTGATGAAATCACTGTCATGCAGTGAGTGGCTTATTTTCTTTGCAAAATAGTTTATATTATTATTTTGGTAACACTTTATTTTAATTGACCACTTTAGACATTCTGCTGGTTATAAGTAACTTTGCAACTACATGTCAACTGCCATTCATTCACGTATTAGCAGAATTCAAACACTTTCATAGTCATACAATTTTGTTTCTTTTGACTGTAAGTAACTTTGCAAGTACATATCAACTTATTCTACTAACCGTAACCTTAAATAAACAGTCTACTAGTGAGAGTAAGGTGATATGAAGTTGCAAACTTGCTTCTAGTTAAAAGAATGTCTGAAGTGGTCTAAGTGTAACCATTATGGGTAATATTAATGTTTATTAATAATATCCAGTTATGTTATACTTTATCATTCAGCTGAACTGAAAAGGCATTTTTGATATTATATTATAAGAACATATACAGTATATCATGTTCTTGTCACGGTGTGTGCGGGGAGATGAAGCGAGGACTCAATCGCTGGAGAAATGGTATTTATTTTAGTAACAAATGAAACAAAAACAAACTCAAACCACCCCGAGGGGGAAAAACAGACAGGCAGAGCTAAAGCTGCACACATGCAGACACGAAACACACACAATGAGAAATGACGGATCAGCACAGGACGGCAGACACAAGGAGAATAAATAGGAACCAAACGAGGAGGCTAACGAGGGAGACACAGGTGGAGCAACTAAAACAATAACGAGGTAACAAGATGGGAGGGGCCAGACAATAGACAGGAGAGAGCACATGGCAACAGACAAACACAACACAAGCCATGTGCTCCCAGAACACAGTCATCTGGTGGCCCTCCTGGGCACACCGGCTGAAGACTGTGACAGTTCTTGCTTATGTTCTTCATTCATTAAATGCATGTCTTGAATGAACGGGGTTTGCATAGCTCACATTCACTGAAAATATCAAAACATTAGTGTATACTGTGTACTGATTGTTAAGTGCCAGTGAGCAGTAAAGCATGGTTTAACCCTTTACTGCAAATGCTGGTGCACCATCCCAGTAGAAAAGTGCAGAGTCAAAAGTTAGCTCGCCACCTATTGCTCCGTCAGCCCTGGTGCATTGCTTGTGTCACATGTGTATGTGTGCAGATACGTCTGCTTGTGTACCTGAGATGAGTCTCATTCTCTGATCAACTGCAAATCAAATATTCTTTAATGAGGAATTTGCATTTCACAGTAAAGTTTAAATTTTTCTGCTCAACGTATTACAGAATGTCTATATTTGCTTCTCGTCCTTTTTCAAATGTAATCCATGCACTTAACCCTGCATACCTCTAATTTCTCCTTTGCAATGACCTATTAAAGAAGCATGCACCCTTTAGCCATCGCACTAAAGATTGTATAATTGTAATACATGTTTTACATGATTTACATAATATTTTTAAATATGTGTAACCCAATTTAGAAGTAATTGTAATAACTGAAAGTCAGTATCTGTAACCTTATAGTGCCAGGTTTGTCAGCACAAATCCTCTTTTGGCATTAAAAAAAACTACTATCAGGATTTACTAAAGACACAGTGAAAAATTGGCAATGAAAAGGCATGGACAGTTATTTTTTTGCGGCTGACCTTTTGCATTTGTGGTAGACAATTTACTGGTATTTGCAACATTATTTAATGTCCAAAAAATGTATGTCTTAACCCATTTTGCGCTTGACATGGCTGTGATAGTTGCTAATTTGTGCTGCTCTCTAGATTGCCTTTGTCATTATGGAAATGATCTGGGTGCGTCTGTGTTCTTTAATTTGCGTGTTGTCAGTAGATAACCTTTAGAACTTTCCACGCCAGTCTGCGCTTTCGTGGGATACGCTAATTTGCCCTGTTTAGTAAATTTGGCCCTTAGACTGCTTTTTTACTAAAAATATAATTTGTTTACTGTCACTGATTACTTTGTAATGCATTATACCCAGTGCTGCCCTATGTTACTATATGATCTCTCCTTCCAAGTGACTCTATAGAATTGTTTGCTCGATTTGTCATCCACCCACGCTGATCAATTAGAACAGTGGTTCTGAACCCTTTTCAAAAGCCCTCCTATCTAAGCTGATACGTAGCTGATATGTACCTCTGTTGTGATAAAACACATCAAACTCAAAAAATGTTTGTCTTTTTAATGTGGTATTTATTTTCTGTGTTCTTTTATCATTTTAAATATGATTAACTTAATATAATGACATTTAAATCATTTGAAGACTTGCTGGGGCTTGCCTGGAAGTTTGCAGAGGCCCCCCTTGTGGGCCCCAAAACATGTTTTTTTTTTTGTTCTCTCTCTGATATTGATTTATATATTTTGAGTTTTTAATATGAGTATTTTTGTTTTTTTCAGGAGCACCAGAATAACACAGTCGGAAGCACGATGCAGAACGCCATGGCTCTCCTCTGCAATCTGATTGGACATAAGGGCACAGACCTGCGACCGTTCTACCAGCAAGGTGCAGTGCATCTGAACGTCACTCGCTTTGATATATCGGCACTCCAGTTTCTAGCCTGTCTCTGAACCAGAAAACACAAACCCACACAGTCTTTTCACCCAGACACTGCCACGCACATGAAAAGGGCCTGCATTCAGAGAGCTGCCCTTGTTTTGTTTTTGAGTGTTTTCATTCCATTACCAGACCCTTATTGCTCTCATCTCGCTGTCTGACTCTCGTGTGTGACTCTGATGGAGGGGGAGGGCATTCAGCTGCCTTTTTTAAGGGCTTCCACCAGATACTGCTGCTTTTATCAGTGTGGACTCTTGTGTGACGGCCCAGTAGCCCGCATCTACTTAGTGTCCCGCCCCTCTAGCCCTCATATCACCCACCGTCCTGGCTTGGGTTCCCCCTCTCCTATTTTCATCTGATGCTATCTACCCAGCTGCTCAACTCAACTTTTATTTATAAAACAGTTTCTAAACCATAAGATTGGACCAAAGTGCTGCACAGAGATAATTAAAACGCTAAAAAAAAAAACATTATAAACATACAAAGCCAACACAGCATGACACCAATATAAATCGTACAACAAAATCACTCACATTAAACAGACCCACTTCAATGTCAAAAGTCTGATGAAATAAATAAATATTTCAGTTCCTTTTAACAATGTCTATAGTTGACACTAGCTACTGGGCAGCCTCTCACTCATTCTCTCATCTGCACAAGTTGCTGTCTGTTGCCTCTCTTTTCATGCCCATGCAAGGCTGTTTTTTTCCCCCCAGCCTTCTGTGTGAATGCCCAGTCTCACCTTGATGCTTTCAGCTCCCTGTGCTGAATTATTGAGTAATGGATTCGTATAGCCTTACTCATGTTGACAGTTTTGGACCTGCATGCCTGTTCATTGCCGCATTGCCGCCCGATAGGGTGAGATGGACACTGAGGTCTACTGGGCAGCCTCTCACTCATTCTCTCATCTGCACAAGTTGCTGTCTGTTGCCTCTCTTTTCATGCCCATGCAAGGCTGTTTTTTCCCCCCCAGCCTTCTGTGTGAATGCCCAGTCTCACCTTGATGCTTTCAGCTCCCTGTGCTGAATTATTGAGTAATGGATTCGTATAGCCTTACTCATGTTGACAGTTTTGGACCTGCATGCCTGTTCATTGCCGCATTGCCGCCCGATAGGGTGAGATGGACACTGAGGTGTGTGTGTGTGTGTGTATGTGTGTGATGTGTTTGTTTTTTACAAAAGGAGATGAGTCAGATTCACACACACTCTCCACATTCAACACACTGTGATGAGGAGGAACCGTGGAAAAAAAAGTGTGTAGTTTCGCACTTACGTACACACACGGTTGCATTCACATTGACTGCATTAAAGGGATACTCCACCCCAAAAAGAAAATTTTGTCATTAATCACTTACCCCCCATGTCTTTCCAAACTCATAAAAGCTTTGTTCGTCTTCAGAACACAATTTAAGTTATTTTGGATGAAAACCGGGAGGCTTGTGACTCTCCCATTGACTGCCAAGTAAATTACTGGTTCTGAACCCTTTTCAAAAGCCCTCCTATCTAAGCTGATACGTAGCTGATATGTACCTCTGTTGTGATAAAACACATCAAACTCAAAAAATGTTTGTCTTTTTAATGTGGTATTTATTTTCTGTGTTCTTTTATCATTTTAAATATGATTAACTTAATATAATGACATTTAAATCATTTGAAGACTTGCTGGGGCTTGCCTGGAAGTTTGCAGAGGCCCCCCTTGTGGGCCCCAAAACATGTTTTTTTTTTGTTCTCTCTCTGATATTGATTTATATATTTTGAGTTTTTAATATGAGTATTTTTGTTTTTTTCAGGAGCACCAGAATAACACAGTCGGAAGCACGATGCAGAACGCCATGGCTCTCCTCTGCAATCTGATTGGACATAAGGGCACAGACCTGCGACCGTTCTACCAGCAAGGTGCAGTGCATCTGAACGTCACTCGCTTTGATATATCGGCACTCCAGTTTCTAGCCTGTCTCTGAACCAGAAAACACAAACCCACACAGTCTTTTCACCCAGACACTGCCACGCACATGAAAAGGGCCTGCATTCAGAGAGCTGCCCTTGTTTTGTTTTTGAGTGTTTTCATTCCATTACCAGACCCTTATTGCTCTCATCTCGCTGTCTGACTCTCGTGTGTGACTCTGATGGAGGGGGAGGGCATTCAGCTGCCTTTTTTAAGGGCTTCCACCAGATACTGCTGCTTTTATCAGTGTGGACTCTTGTGTGACGGCCCAGTAGCCCGCATCTACTTAGTGTCCCGCCCCTCTAGCCCTCATATCACCCACCGTCCTGGCTTGGGTTCCCCCTCTCCTATTTTCATCTGATGCTATCTACCCAGCTGCTCAACTCAACTTTTATTTATAAAACAGTTTCTAAACCATAAGATTGGACCAAAGTGCTGCACAGAGATAATTAAAACGCTAAAAAAAAAAACATTATAAACATACAAAGCCAACACAGCATGACACCAATATAAATCGTACAACAAAATCACTCACATTAAACAGACCCACTTCAATGTCAAAAGTCTGATGAAATAAATAAATATTTCAGTTCCTTTTAACAATGTCTATAGTTGACACTAGCTACTGGGCAGCCTCTCACTCATTCTCTCATCTGCACAAGTTGCTGTCTGTTGCCTCTCTTTTCATGCCCATGCAAGGCTGTTTTTTTCCCCCCAGCCTTCTGTGTGAATGCCCAGTCTCACCTTGATGCTTTCAGCTCCCTGTGCTGAATTATTGAGTAATGGATTCGTATAGCCTTACTCATGTTGACAGTTTTGGACCTGCATGCCTGTTCATTGCCGCATTGCCGCCCGATAGGGTGAGATGGACACTGAGGTGTGTGTGTGTGTGTGTGTATGTGTGTGATGTGTTTGTTTTTTACAAAAGGAGATGAGTCAGATTCACACACACTCTCCACATTCAACACACTGTGATGAGGAGGAACCGTGGAAAAAAAAGTGTGTAGTTTCGCACTTACGTACACACACGGTTGCATTCACATTGACTGCATTAAAGGGATACTCCACCCCAAAAAGAAAATTTTGTCATTAATCACTTACCCCCCATGTCTTTCCAAACTCATAAAAGCTTCGTTCGTCTTCAGAACACAATTTAAGTTATTTTGGATGAAAACCGGGAGGCTTGTGACTCTCCCATTGACTGCCAAGTAAATTACACTGTCAAGGTCCAGAAAAGTATGAAAGACATCGTCAGAATAGTCCATCTGCCATCAGTGGTTCAACCGTAATGTTATGAAGCGTCGAGAATACTTTCTGTACGCGAAGAAAACAAAAATAACAACTTTATTCAACAATTCGTCTCCTCTGAGTCTCTCTGCATCACTGTAGCGCCATTTTGGAGAATATCCGCTGAACGCAAGGACTATTCTGACGATGTCTTTCATACTTTTCTGGACCTTGACAGTATAATTTACTTGGCAGTCAATGGGACAGACACAAGCCTCCCGGTTTTCATCCAAAATATATTAAAATGTGTTCCGAAGACGAACGAAGCTTTTACAGGTTTGGAACGACATGGGGGGTACGTGATTAATGACAATTTTAATTTTGGGGTGGAGTATCCCTTTAAGTAACACGTTATTGGCACAAATAATAGGAAGGGAGCAGTAGCTGAGCGGGTAACTGTGATTTTACTGGTTCTACACTTTGTTGATCCTTTAACAAAATGCCTTTCAACCAGTCAGGTTTTATGGTTAGAATTACATACATATATTTAAAGAGGTGGTCCACCCAAAAATAATATTTATGTCATTTACTCACTCTCATGTTCTTCCAATGGAAAGCAGAGGGAACTGAAACGGTTTAGTTATCAACATTATTCATGTGGTTATCAAGAAAGTCAATCACGCAGGTTTAGAACGACATTAAGTGTGAGGAAGCGATGGCATTTTTGGGTGGACCACGAATGTACATGCTGGTCGTATTAACAGTAATTCAAATGTTTATCGCACCAAATTTTCTTAGTAACTACTAATCAGGTTTGTAACTAACCATTTGTTGTTAAATCAAGTCTAAGCTTGTATGTTGTAAGCACTTTAAATAATATGTACAGTAGTTGTAAAAAAAAAAAAAGGCATTTTAATCCACTGCACAGCCTTCAAATTTGTAAACAAGCAAAGCCGTGTTTTAGTGTATCTGATTACAGCCCCCCCCTCAATGGCGATAAAGAATGTTTATTTTTAAGAGTGTAACATCTGAGACCGTTATTTTGTGTCGTTTAAATCAATCTTGTTTTTCAATCCGTAATGAAGCTAATTTCCTGTGAGTGTGCGATACCTCTGATCCATTAGCTGATGTGGGTAAATAACTAGAAGAATAACAAAAGATAGTAAACAGTAAAACTATTTGTGCTATAAAATAGTGTTTATGATTACAGTAATAAATTCAAATAATTTAATAAAAGATACCAGTTTGCATAACGGACCATTTTTGTTCAGCTAAAATAACTAAAACCAGGTGACCTCAGACGTCTTGCACATTCAAGGTTAAAATGGCTACATCAAGGAGCTCTAAGGCTGTTTGCACTCACAGTATGAATGGATTGTGTTTGTGTTGGAGACTATGTGTCTATGGAAGACAATTTATGCCACACAGAAACTCTTACAAAGCAAAAACAAACAATCCTTGAATGCATCTCTCAACTACTGTACACAGCTTAAATGTCATGCGGTTGTAAATAATTAAGTGAAGTGTTTTCTCAATTGATAGGGACATTCTGTCTCATGAGAGACCGATGTGGTACCCTACTTTAGTGTATCCTGTGATGTTTATGAGATGACTGTTAAACCTGGAAAGCAAAAATAGTGCAAAAAGCTGAACATTATCCAGTTTTGTCATTCAGTTAAAATGTTAAACAGTTGCTAACATGTTCTTTCATAAAATGTATTGTAGTGTTTCAGGTAATGCTTTACAAAAAGGTTGTTTGGTTAAAATTAGTTAACTCT